AAATGGAACAAGCATTTATGACATTAAGCTCAAAAACTACTGAGGAACTTAATACTCGGGCAGAACTGAAAAGTTACCTTTTAAAGAACGCGGTACCTAGTTTATTGTCAATGTTGGCAGTAAGTATGGGTGTTCCTTTACGGGTGTATTGAGGTCGATTTTCAACGCAAGTGTTTACATAGAATGGATGAACTGTTTAGTGTATGGTATCCACGCGCAAAAGAAATATGACAAAAGAATGGATTGTTACCTATACATTAACTGATCCAAAATGAAAAAAATCGTCCCATATAAATAAGGACACCAGATTCGTTTGAATATTTCAAAGCAAATCAGCGCAATAACGCTTTAACTTAACATCAGTGTCAAAAATACACTAAGTCTATATTTGTAATATCTCAGTAACAAATAATGTTAGACCCTGAACCCAGACATTTTCTGAATCTACTCACCAAGATCTTTCCAACGGTATATAAACCTAAGTGTTTTATGAACTTTGAAAAATTGGTTTAAAAATCGCTAAAGGGCCATTACTCGAGAACGGCTGAAAATCGAATCGAGAACCTAGGGTTTATTTCGAAGCATTCTGGCAGGTCTATCATTAAATGCGAAAAAAAATCAAAATGTATATCGTAAAATGTTGCACAAAAGACGAAAAACGCTTTTTCTGTTGTATTTTGTTCGGTTTTAGTTACCATTGATAATAGTTTTTTTTTTTTATAATTTTGCACATTCGTGATGATCAGTTTAAAAAAAATGTTGGCATTTCTTTTCCAAAATGAGTTTACAATTATGCCCCAGTGGTAAACTGACACTTCAATAGCTTATTGCTAACCCGCTTTTACTTAAGACGGATAAACTTTAACAGTTGAATGGAGCATTGTCCGCATATCCGTCCCTAAGTAAACATACGCCAGACCGAGTGGCTACTTTAAAGGGATTAACTTTAACATTTCAATGGGCCATTGTTAGTGTATCCGTCCCTAAATAAAACATAGACATTATTGCGACGTTAAGGGGATTAACTTTGACAGTTAAATAGGCTATTGTTAATGCTTCCGCTCTTAAATAAATAGACGCTCGACTATGTGACTATGGTCACGTTTGATACACTCGTGATCAGAGCATTTAGAAATAATACACTGATGATTTGTGTCATTTGGTTTCGGACCGCCGAGGAGTAAACAAGTACTATTTTTATTCAATGTATAAATACTATTGATTTTGACCATATTAAAAAACATAAGCTATTTGTATTTTTTAATTCTAGTGTATTTGCTTTTATCAATTAAAATGTTAACCAGGTATTTATTTACAGAAATTTCTTTTATAAATGATGATATTTATCTCTCCGTCTAGGGCCGAGGACCTGACCTTCAATGTCCGCGATTCAAGCCCTAGATCGGGTATACAAGTCAGCTACGTATACTTCCGGGAGATATTTTTATTCGCGTTTCTATTTATAACGTGATGATGTCATTCTAAAAATAGAACGATAATGTCATTCTCAAAAAATAATCCAAAATGGCCGCCGCGCGTCTGTTATTCAACACAGCCGCCGCGCATGTGAAATGAGGTCATTTCTTCTATGCAAATGAGTTACTATTTATAGAAAACAAAATGGCCCCGCGCATGCCCAGTCGTGATGCCAAAGAGACCCCTATACTACTTCTATAATCAAGAGTTGGTAAACTCAATGCCCTTAATCGTTATTCGTATGTGAGTCTTCTTAGTTCAGGGATGATTCGTTTAGGTTGTCTTTGGGTATTTTCCACTTATTGATTATTTTTCTTTGTTACAGGGTAATAAATGATATTTCCACAATCAGTTATTGGTTTTTTATAAGACCTTTATACAACAAGTACAACTGTTGCTGCAATGCAGCAATAGAGAAGCCCCGCGCAGAAAAATGCGCTCATTGTGTAGTACAGATACCTTACCAAATCATTTCTGCGCATAAGTAATTTTCTATTTAGATTAAGGACTAGTCATTATTACGGATGTTTTGTAAATCATTTCAATTTGCATAATTATACTTATCGTCTGCACTGTCCATGACAAAGGGGCCAGATATTAAATTTAAAACAAATGCTTTCACTGAAGCATGGTAAGGAAAGTAATTCCAATACAAACAAAACTTACAAGACTTGTAAATGCAATGTGACTTGAAAGTAGTTCAACATTGTTCTGTTTGTGTCACTATTTTAGTCAGTAATATTAGATGATAAAAATATCAAAAACATGTACATTTTCTTTTTCACCTATAATGCTACTCACTTTCTACAAATATCAACAACTAATGATTGTAGGAAATATTAAAATCCACATGTAAAAAACCAAATCGACTTTATTTTCAAAATGTCCGTTACATATTTCGCGCCAAATGGTATATCATGTTAAACAAGAAAAGCATTGATGCAAAGCATCAAATGGCATCCAAGCGAGAAATGCAGCAAGTGACGATGAACTAGTAGACATCTGATGACCAGATATTCTTTTAAACTTTTCAATGGTTAATTGGATTTTACCAGAATTGTACATGTATATCATGGGCGGAATGGGCGGACGAAAGACATTGTTCATCATGAACTTTGGTCGGCTTGCTAAAAATAAAAATATTAAATGTATTATCTTTGAAACATACAAAAAAGTAGTCAATTGAACAAAATCTGTTTCTTTTTATTATACTTGTAACAAATATACAAACAGCATATAAAATAAAAACAAAAGAGACTAATATTGTGACATAACAGGCATTTGTTTCTATCAAATTAAGAAAAATGGTTTCTTATAATGCCTTGGACTTAAGATACAGTAGCTATATTTTAAGTCTCAGATAAATACTGAAAGAAGAACACACACTGGAATGAAAAATTTGGGATGAATTTCTAAAAGACCAAATTCAGGTTTTGTTTGTTACACGCGTATGGTACATTTAAAATCATGAACAATTTGCATTGCATGTTGATATATTGAAACATTATTTATCAATAGAAGATTGTTACACACAAACCCATGTGTTATTTATTTTATTACCCGAACAAATACTGTGATGATCTGGATTTGTAAACTTTATCTAACTGTAACAAAAATAAACCAAGAGTAGCAATAACTAAACTGTTCTTACCTTGCAAGTTTTAAGTGCACTGTAGGCCTATTTGAGAAGCTGTTTTTCTTTTATTATTTAAGCAAGTGAGGATATCTACTAGTCATAAACATACAATAAGCTGTGTTTTATTTAGAAAACAAAGCACTAATCCATTTATAAGGTTATGATCTGTGACTCAACTCTGATCCTTCTGTATCCTGAATGTTCTTCGCATGGTTTTGACAAAGTGCATTGATATCCTATAGATGTCTGTCCACCAACTCTATCTGTAACGTTTCACTGGTTAAAATTGTTAAATAATCCTTTGCTGCATGCTTTAATCGTCTGCATGTTCCAGTATGACACAAAATTATTGACATTACAATTACTTCCGTTGAAAACGGATGTTTACTTTTTGACTATTCAACAAAAAGATATTTTATACGCGCAAATAACTCTAGGGTGCAAGGAACTAAATTTTATGAGTGTCATAGTTACTTTGGTGATGCCCTATGCCCTATCGTCGAAAATAAGAATGAATCGAGAGAAAAATGGCGGCCATTTTATTTAGAAAATAGACCACGTGACCAGATTTTATACTGTTGAAAAATACTGTTACAGTACAAAATTCTTTTCGTTTGTCACGTGGTACACTTGCATTAACAGTAAGGCCTATGGGAAATTAACATTACAAAAAAAGTGATGGGTAATAACAAAAATTGTTTCCTATCCATGTGAATAAAATTTCTTTTTAGCAAACCTATATGCGAGTTTACTTTATTAACAGTGAGACCGATGTACTCATCAAATTTCAAATTAGATGTGAAATTAATACCTAGGTCGTTTTCTTTGTCAATGATTCCAATGTCAACATCAATACCAGTGTTGTTTTTCATTTTGTATTTTGTTTCCAATCCACATTATCTTTCATTTTGGTAATATATAATCATTCCTAACGACTCTACAGTATCGCAGGTAATATTTTCTAGTGAGCAGCCGATCGTATACGGGTAGTTTATCCAATTTTACAAATACCTGTTACACTTTGATGTCTTTTAGAGCTACAAAAATACCTCTAGATGTTTAAAACCCGTTGAGATATTAAATGAAATAGCCATTAGTTTGGAAAATATCGTCGATGAACTTGCCTTCATTCCCCGTTCAAAGTCGCGAAATGGGATGAAAGTCCTCATAGTATTGAGCAATATCCCGGATACGGTATTCCGCAGAGAATAAGCTTCTACAGTCTACACGGTATTTATAATATAATCCCTCATTTACGTCACATCTTGTAAGGGAAGTAACTCTTCATCGACGCTTATCGCTTAAACGAAAGGGTATATATATAGAAAAAAAAAACAAAACAAAAAAAAAATCTACTTTAAAGAAAACCCAGATAGCTACAGATTAGATATTAAGCAAGAAAAATCTTCTAACGGAGTCTACCAAGTTTGTTTAAAAAAGCGCTGGCGTCAAAATTTGCTCCCCCCCCCGGGGGTCATTGATTTTCAGTATATGTTTATTGTAAAAACTTTAAAAATCTTTTTAAAAACCAAAAGAGCTGGAGATATATATTTAGCATGAAACATCTTCTACAGGGTGTCTACCAAGTTTGTTCAAATAAAGCCCTGGGTTCAAAATTGGCCCTATTGTTTCCGACTTTTAATTATGTATCCAGACAAATGAATAGATTTTAAATGCATTGGGCGAAATTTGTGGGTTTTATTATTATTCTTTTTTTGCTTATTTATCGCACATGGTTTTAATTATAAATGCCACTTTAATTAGTATTTACAATTATTTCATAATTTTTGCTAGGTACTGAACTTTAAATGATCAATACACTTAAATGTACTACATTTTTTAATATATTAATGTTGTGTGTATTGTATTTATTGTTTCCTCTTTACAGATGGCAGACAAATATTATAGATTGGTTTGCTTTGTGGTAGATATTTGTGCTGATGTTTTAAGGAAATATTTCGTCAAACTTGCAAAAACTGATGCAGGGAACACTTATACATCAGTTAATTCATACCTATCTCATAGGAAGTCGGATGTGATGAAATTATTAAGTAAGAAAAAGATCAGGAATTATCAGTATGATTTATTGTATCCTCATAACGGCACCGCTGATGAAAACCAATGGGACGTCTCTATACTGGTAACATTGATAACAGAACTTTTTGACAAACGACTACAGCCAACCGAAATCTTCGCGTTGGAAACTGAAATTCGAGGGATTCGAAATAAGTTGCAGCATCACCCAAATACTAAAAATATTTCAGATGATGACTTCAGTAATTATTGGGGACGTTTGGATTTTTCTGTTAAGCTTTTAGCAAAGAATGCACTCGATCAAAATGACGAAGCATCCTTACTATTGAAAATAAACGACGTAGAATGTAATCATTTACCAAATCTCAGTGATTGTTTACGTATTTGGCATGAAGAAACCTCTAAGCAGTTGTTAAGCATTGTGAATGAAGTGCAGGCAAATACCGATATTATCAGACAAGTGACGGTCCAGAAACCAGGACCTTCAGGTAGGTTTCAGAAATCAGACATCCATTTTATGTTTATATTGCAATGTATTTCTATTTTCATAAGATCATGTCATAAAATTTGTTCGTATTTATCGCAATCAACACATACATTTGATATGATAAGCTAAGATCTATTTTTCAAACATTTGAAATGGTCTCTTTCTATTTGTTTTTAACTTTTTATCTAAAGAAAATATGCACACAAATCTCAAAATGGTATATATTTTTAATTATCTTTGACTTTTCTCAGAAACTATATTGATAATTCGATAAATGTTTTGTTTATTTGAAACTTAATACTCCAGGGGCCATAAATAAACGAATCAAAGTTGCTGATGATATTCTGGCACGGCTTCAAGGTAAGTTGGTCATTAAAGAAAACAACTTTCGAATAGTAATATCTACATTCATATTCACATTTGTTTTCTATTCTAATCCAGTCTAATCTTACATCAGACATATACAGTACAGTATTTCTAAGATCAAATCAAAGTAAATACAAGATATGACAATTTCTGTTTTCATGATGGCATTTTGTGCATACAATCATTTTCTATTTGTAAGCGGGTTTTGAGACAACCATGAAAGAACTACCAGGCGATTTCAACCCTCCAAATGAAGTGACAGATATTCGAGCTAAACTTAGAGATTGCCATCACGTGGTCGTAACCGGATATAACAAGAGTCGTTACTTTGAGACCGCTCTTGCAGCAATAAAGGGGATGGGCTATAATTACAAACGAAGTGTACAAATGCTTACGTCGTCTGATTGGCGGCACATTGATCCTGAAGATGTAGACTTGGTTGTATGTACAGATCCATTTGGAGGATATTCTTATGATGAAATCAAAGCCCAAAGCCATGAGTGATATATTTGCATGATGAATTCAACAAAGACGAAATATGATAAAATTTAGACATTCATAT